TCCTCAGCCTCTGGCTTTAATTTTTTTAATTAATATTTTTTAAAAAGTGGAAGAAATTTAACAAATGAAATCTGTCTCCTCGTGCTCACAATTTAAGTAACTGGACAACTCAGATGAAGGGGGCATACTGCACTTTCAAACTTACAGAATTTGTTGTGAAGAAACTTAAATCATGTTTGACAACTTTGTGAATCACTCCAACTGTTTTTTATCTCTTCCCAGAAACTGTGTGTCTCCTTCAGAAGTAACAAAAAAACCAACACACTATTGGTCAGTATAGTCCCTTGTTTATAAGACCAGGTTTTTAAAAAGTACATCTAGGTATTACTTAAAATAGGATTCCTTGTCTGCCCATAGATTCTCTTTTTTTAAAGTAGCAGCTGAATTTTTTATGTTTTTTCTTTAAAGACAGAGTCTTGGCCAGTGTGGTGGCTCACACCTATAATCCCAGCACATTGGGAGGCCGAGGTGAGAGGATTGCCTGAGCCCAAGGGTTCGGGACCAGCCTGGGCAACATGGTGAGACCTCATCTCTACGATAAATCAAAAAATAAGATGGGTATGGTAGGGCATGCCTATAGTTACAGCTACTTGGAAGGTTGAGGCGGAAGGATCTCCTGAGCCCAGCAGGTCGAGGCTGTGGTGGTGGTGAGGGTGCCCACTGCACTCCAGCCTAGGAGACAGAGTGAGGCTCTGACTCAAAAACAAACAAAAAAAAAAAGACACAGTCTCCCTTCAATCTTGAACTCTTGGCCTCAAGCTATTTTTCCATCTGGGCCTCCTCAGTAGTTGGAACTACAGACACATGTCACCACACCTTGTTGTTGTTGGTTTTTTGTTTTTTTTTTTTAGAGACAGGGTCTCATTATGTTGCCCAGGCTGGTCTTGAATTCCTGAACTGAAGTAATCTTCCTGCCTTGGCCTCCCAAAGTGCTGGGATTACAGGCATGAGCCACTGTGCTGAGTATTGCATGCAGATCTCTACTGCAATATAACTAGGCAGTTGATGAGTTATAATTCCATCTTCAACACTGACTAGTTAGCTATACAATCTTGAACAAGTTTAACTTCTCTATGCCTTAGTTTCCTTATCTCTAAGTGGAGATACCAATAGATGTGCTATGAGGTTTGAGTTGATGTATGTATATGTATACATGCAAAAACACCTCCACTGTGCCTGATACATAGTAAGCACCATACATGTGTAAACCACTATTATTATCAATACTATTATCTATTCCACTGACTTTGGTCATAACTAGTTAAGCTAGGATCTCTCCAGAAACGTGTACATTAAGTAAAAGATATTGAACACAACTGTAGAGGCCTCATGGATCCAAGATTAACACTGCCAAAGATCTATAAGTAACTTGGTTTAAAGTGATTCTTAGGACGGAAGCGTTGGCCACTCAGGCCTGAAATCCCAGCACTTTGGGAGGCTGAAGCAAGAGGATTGCTTAAACCCAGGAGTTTGAGACCAGTCCAGGCAACACAGCAAGATCTTGTCTACAAAAAATAAAAAAATTAGCCAGGCATGATGGCATACACCTGTAGTACCAGCTATTTGGGAAGCTGGGATGGGAGAACCACTTGAGTCCAAGAGGTAGAGGCTGCAATGAGCCCAGACAGTGCCACTGCACTGCACTGCAGCCTGGGTAACAAAGTGAGACTCAAAAAAACAAAAAAGTGCTTCTTAAACTTTTTTGTAACACAGACTTCCTTAATAGTTCAATTAACTTACGGATCTCCTCAGAATGTTTTCAAATGTATAAAATACAAAAGATCACAGAGTAAACTGACAGACAGTTGTTAAAATATATTAAAATTTCGAATATAGTAATATATTAAATAAGATTTTTTAGAGCCGGGCTCGGTGGCTAAGCCTGTAATCCCATGCCTTTGGGAGGCTGAGGTGAGTGGATTGCGTGAGCCCGCGAGTTCGAGACCCACCTGGGCAGGCGAGACCTCATCTCTACAATAAATAAAAAAATTAGCCAGGTGTGGTAG